GGTTCACAAACCATGTGGTTGCAGCTGTTTTCTTCCAAGGAAAAGATAGATAAAATAAGATAACTTTATTAGCCATACAAAATTTTTCACGTACCCCCGCTTGCTCTCCATGAGACACAGAGACAGGGAGAGAAGCTTGGGGTCAGAGCGCAGGGTCAGCCATTTATACAGCACCCCTGGAGCAGTTGGGGTGAAGGGCCTTGCTCAGGGGCCCAGTGGAGTAGGATTCCTCTACCAGCCGCTGGATTTGATCTGGCAACCTTCCAGTCACAGGTGCAGATCTTGAGCCAGAGAGCCACTGCACCGCCAGATGAAATTATTGAAATGATTTACAACTAACTACCAAGGTGGCAAAAAAGATTTAATGGCATCTTCTTTGTAACCTTTCTTAAGATGAAAATTCTTGTCTGAACTGCATTACCCAGAAGGCTATGTGGAATGATGTATTATCCTCAGTCACCTGACTGGTTGGTGTAATACAAAAGGTCAGGTGATAGCTAAAAAAACAGGAAGCAGAGGCTTAATTAGGCAACATCTGTTAAAAACAGAGGGCAGATCCTCAGATATACAAGCTGCACCTGGGGGAAAGGAAAGCCACAATCTGAGCAGCGACTGGTGAACAGTTGTTAGTGTGTTGTTGCGAAGGTATATGATCTCATATCTTACCTGTCCAGAGAGGGAGAGGCAAGCTGGTCTGAGGCTGACAGGTGAATCAGAGGAAAGGCAACGACAAGAGATCAAGCTCAATCTGCATTCCATAGTGCCCATGCCAGAAACAATTGTTAATGAAATTCCAAGGGAAAAAAGACTAAGCTCGTCTCTCACTCATTGCTCACACTGAGGTACAAATTAGATCAGCCTTTTCATCTCTGCATCAGCACCTTGCACTAGACCCATGGCTCATCCCATAATTCCGTGCATTTACAGTATATACAGTATATGTCAATAAACCTGAACTCGATTAGTGTCACATGTGGTTGTTTACTCTGTGCTCTTGTATTTTAATCATATTTACAAAAGAAAAAGACAAACATTAAACAAAAAAGTCAACTTTTGACAGTTTTCCAAGGAATTTCCCTAGTAGAAGTTTCAATAGTCAGGCCTACAATCACTCAGGTTGTGTAACAGCAGCACACAGATGAGGACACACCACAAAGACTGAGACAGGACTGGGTGCTCCACTGTAGGTGTCAGGGTACATACCTTCAGCTACACCCTCAGCCCTCCTGATGGACAGGCGAGCCTCCATTTAAACTGAAGCTGAGGCCAGATCTGTAACTTGAATTAACAGGCTGGAACACACAGACTGTGGATTTGTAACTGTTAAGAAAAAAATACAAACAATATACAAATTAAATTAACAAATGTTTTTTTTTCCCCAACAGCCACATATAAATGCAAAGAAATAGAAGCTGACATGGTTCTTTGGTTTGGAATGACAAACCTAACAGGTAAGTAAATAACAAAGCTGAATTCATCAGAGGTCATGTGATGAGAATGTGCAACAGTTCTTTGTCACACCTATTTATCTTCATGATGAATCAATGCCTTTTAAATTGATAGGCCTGAGTGTTTCAGTGGTGTTAGAAAAGTAAACTTTAGACCACAGCTACAGTACCTGTTCTGAGTTGTACAAAATAGGCCTACAACTCCTGCTGTGATGTACCCCTATTAGATTTACTGCACTGACTACAAAATGGTACTGTATATGTGCAAAGGACTGCAGAAAAAAACGTGTAATAATCACATTTTGTAGCAACAGGGGAATTTAGTTAAGACTTTGAAAAATTAAATAACAGCAAAACAACTAAAATGTACAATGGCTGTGACAATCTTTTTTTTTTAAAGAATCCAATGCCAGTCAACACGCCAAATACCCACACAAAAAGAGTGCATACAAATTATTGTTTAAACACAAAAATTTAGCATCTGTTGATAAAGTAGTAGTTTCCTGAGGTCAGGCTTCTAAGTATGCCCTTGACTCCACAGGCCCTGCCACATCTACACACATGAAAATACACAGGGTTGTGGGGATTTGTTTAAAAATCAATAAAAAATACAATGACTTTTCAATACCTTTTTGCAACACAAAACTTTTGCCAACACTTTTTTATATCTCTGCCTGTGATGTGCAGTAGCTATTTCGCTAGGTTTACCCTTGTTTGTATTTCAGAGACACCTAGCACTGGAGTAAGAACTACTCTATTTTTAAGCCAGTTTGCAACATTCTGTACTGTAAATCTGATACAGCCCAGAACCCTCTAGTGGCTAATCTTTGTCATGGTCACACATTTTCATCCCCAGGCTTATTTTGACCTTTCACTGTTGCCTTAACTCTCTCTCCTCCTCTACCTCCTCCACTGCTTAGAGCCTTTGTATAATCTGTGCTCCCTCCCTTTCCTACTCACACCATAGTTCCTTTCTAGCAGAATGCTGTTGTCTTTTTAAAAAAAAAACATCAGTCCTGACCATGCCTCACTCAGTTTCTATTCTAAGCCCTTGTTCATTCTGCACAGGGCTGCAGAGCTCTGTCTAAGCTGGCCCTCTTGTGTCAGGAGACTACCGTCTCCAACACTTCCACAACTCTGACACAGCCTTAGGATTCACTCCGCCTGTTGTCTAAAACAACCCTGCAGACAGGCTAGTTAATGAGAGGGCCCGCTAGGGGAGGGATGCTGACCGTGACACACCTAGGAGAATGACTAATTGGATTCCTTCGTAATATATAATATATAATATAAATGGAATCATTTCAGATAAAAAGTGGCACATGTACAGTATACTGTATAAATGCATTTATTATTATAATTGTGAGTAGTGTAGTCTACTGATTCCACTTGGGGCAATGCAGGTTTTGTGCTTTGCTTCTTTTCTTGTACTGTGTTGAAATATTTTATTAACTTTACATTTTATTTAATAGTGCTCTGTTTTATGTATTTGTGAACTCCTGTTTTGATAGCTGGAGCCCATCCATCTGACAAAAATGCAGTGTCACATAATATCAAATACAAGTTGCTCATTTAAATATTAACTTAAATTAGTAGAGAAAAAGAAGGACAGGAAAGATACATTTGGTGTAGGCTTCTGTCCCTCTCGAAAACAAGCACATACAAACAGCTGGAAATGAGAAGAGACCAGCTGGCTATTCCTGCTCAGTAAAAGCATTGCTGTGTTATGTCTATAGGAATGCAAAGATTAGTGCTCATTGTATTTTTCCCTAAGGTTTTTCCTATTCCTTTATTCTTCCCTTGTAAAGGTATTTCACCAGTAAAGATGTAAGAGACATGATTAGAGCTCTCCACTACTGACAACATTTGACAGAGGGCCGAGAGCTCCTACCCAGCTGGGGACTTCGCTGTTGTACAAAGGAACTTTACCCACTCTGCTCCAGCAGGCTCCGCTGTGAAACGAGGTATTAAATTTGAATTTGTACACAAAGACAGGTCATTGTGATCTCTGTATGTCACTTCAGATAAAAATGCCAGACAAGTAATCGTCGTATTGATCCAAGGATCTCATCCAGCCGCTTATTGAAGGAACTTCTTGCGTCACGGCGTCTTCTACCCACCCACAACTCAATCTCAACTCAGGATTGCTAAATCGATTTCTGACTTGTTAGAGCCAGGTGGGGCTGCACACTGGTGGAGGTGAAGGGGATCCCCATTACCTGTAAAGCACTTTGAGTGGAGT